GTTTATGCTGTCAGTCGCTCTCCAGAGGGTCTAACAATAAGTGCGCAGCCTCGTCACTAAGGCCTAGGCCTGTGGTGGTGTGCAAGTTAGTCCTGGTAATCTGTATACAGTGCAAAGTGTGAGGATGAATAGCGGTTGTTTTTCAAATGCAGATGACAACTAGGGCTGCTAAGTAAGTTGTTTATGATGAAACTGGCTGGAGACGAGTATATTGGGTAGTGATCAACCTGACTAGGTTTCGAACCACCAGATGGTGATACTGCGCACTTATGTGGGCACGGCAATGATCCGAAACCTATCCTTCTGAACGCCATGAACAGCAAACGAAGCCGTATGTGATAAACTTGCAATAACAATTGGGGAGAGTTTTGTTGATTCTTCCTGTGAATCAGTTGGAACCATCGGTTATTTTTCTTATCCTGACTACTCATTAGCAACGTCACTTATGCATAACGTCGATGTGCTTCCCATGCAGTTGTCCTCTGTTTTCAGGTTCCCGTTCAACGTTTACTCACCCTCCAGTTTCGGGTACCGAGACTCTGGTCACCTGTCCGTCTTAGCATGCAATTAAATGTCTACTCTGTCTATTTTCGACTGTCCGCTCCGACGACAAGACGGCCAACTCGGGGATAGAGCTTAGAACCCTCGGGTGGCAGCTGAGCATGTCACCCACTAAATTCATAAAGTCATTCAGCTGTAGCACCCTTTCGGCGCCTAAATGCTATGCCACCAGAAGGAAACACGAGGGCTGGGATAGTGCCAGGTCGCCCAAGCCTAGACAGGGGGAGTCGAGAGGCAGAGGTAGGGTTCTAACCAAGGACCTCCCGGTCAGTAAATACGCGCTCTAACCACTTAAACCACCTTGCCCATGTCACCCACTACACCAACTCGGTCCCCTGAGTGGCCATTTTCAGGTCTTATTTGAGAGTGTCTGGACCTAAGCGCGCATTCTAATTTAATTTGCTACAAGCGCTGTTTTGTCACGCTATCAGTTAAAGACCGCGGGTACATTTATTTTTCCGCCAGGCTTATCCAACACCATGTATTCCAGATAGACTCCGTTTCCTTTTTGCTTCGGAGCTGCCCGTCGAACGTACTAACAGCCTTCCGCGCTGTTATCCACTACACTGCCCATGTCCGTACTACTGTACATCACTTGATGATTATTTGTTTTTACTTCCAGAAATCCCTGCTGCCTCACTGCCCCCTTTTCGGTTCCTATTGATTGCGCTACTGTTGATTGTACGTTCTACTCATTCCCCAATGTCTATTCACAAAGACAGTTGTCAATAAAGTACCGACCACCCAATCCGTATTTCCTACTTCCCGGGACTTACTGAATACCAACTGCATATAACTCGACAGTGTGCTGTAAACTCCTATGGCTCCCTGATCTCACAAGTCCGTTGGTTTGTTCACCGAACTTGGCAACTGATTTGAAAAGAAACGTTTCGTCACCAATCGAGAAGGCATCCTCAATGCGCTGTTGGGTTGGATTCTGTTTGTTCACCGAGCTTGGCAACTGATTTGAAAAAAACGTCTCGTTACTAATCGAGAAGGCGGCGCTGTTGGGTTGGATTCCCCCCCCTCATAGTTGAGTTTAGATAATTTGGCTCAGAACAGCATTTGTCGCTGATTTATTAAATGCCAAAAGTGATTCCCGTTCTCTCAATGCTCACCCAACAGTGCACTGACGGTGTTCTCGAATAGGGGAGAAATCTCTGGAAATCAATTGGCACGCCCGGCGAACAAGTCGACAGCTAATAAATCCACCCAAGCTATCAACATTCCGCAACAATGCAAGGGAGTTTACTCAATAACAATGAGGACAGGCAACTTGCCATTAGATACCTTCGCCGAATTCTAGAGCTTCATCTGTCCATAACTGCCTCAGGGATCGTTTGTCACATGGATTACGAAAAACCAGGACAGCATTAGATAGAGGTGACATACTACTCATAAGGTTGCTGATCTCTTCGACTGCGACCGAATGAGTGGTGTGTTACGTCCATATAAGGTATTATGGTAACTCAAATAGCATACCAACTGAAAAATGAAGCGGCCTGGTGCGGCAGATTTAGTTGAAGAACATGGTAAACAAGAAATTCAGCCGGGTTCCACGTGAGTCTTCCGGAAAAAGTAAACTGGTACGCAAATGAGTGTATTTGTCGAAGGACATGCATAAATTCGACTTATATATTCATCTTATTTCTGACGGAAGACTCACATAGAACCCAGCTGAATCTCTCATTTATGATGTTCCTAGGAGTTTTCAGCAGCTTCGCGAGTAATGAGCGACATCCCTGAAGACTTCTCAACGCAGTTCAGAATTCACCAAGACAGAGGTCAAGATTAGGAACCGAAGGTCACAGAAGTGTTGCGTGCAGCGAGATTTTGGGATACCCTAAACCAGGAGGCCACACATTGAAGCTTTTGGAATTGTCTTCAAGTATTCGTGCAAGTAATGACGGTTTAGTTGGGTTCTGCTGATTAAGTAAGTAAAAAGATATGAAAATCCGTTTTCAACAGTAGCTCATCGGGCGAGGACCATTTGGCGATTAAACTGTACATTATGTAATTACTGACACGAGTTCAAGAATCAGGAATAGTTGTAATGATATCCAGCGTGTCCAAACTAAGGTCTAAACGAACAGCCGACATGTGTGACCTTGAGGGGTCGGCAGTCCATCCACCAGTCACTGATGTACTTCATTCATGGATGTCCCGAATGTGAGAATAACATGATGTTAGGATCCCCCGCTTAAGGACTGTTTCCCACAAGCCCATGGATTGCATTCTCGGACTTTCACGGCTTTTGCACTCTTGGTTATACTGACCTCATTGGTCTCGAACACCCACAAACTAGATGTGAATGGCGTACGTCGAATGTGACACGAGTAGGGATGGGACTGTCGGCGTTTCCGGTGCGTACGCGAGATCGACAACGCCTTGAAATCGACTGACTAACGCTGAGGTGACGAAATCAAATAATACAGTGATGAAACTGATGGCGAGTAGTGATGAACCATGCCGGGAACTGGTACAGGCGTGGGCACAATGGACCTACATTGAGGTGGTTGAATCGGGCGTCTGCCTTGTTGTGGACCAGATGCTGTAAACCTTTAGAGCTGGTAGGGTCTGAACGGCAATGGTTTCAGTGCAGGATCTTTATGGAATCAACGGAAGACCCACCTGGACGACTATGCCTTGATGAAACAGAAATATGTGGTTCCCTGAAGGGATGCGCGGACCAAAGACTGAGTATTCTGTCCAATTGACATAACCGCGTTGTGACTGAAGATGAATCATATGCCCTTTGTGTGTACTGATGCGTACTTTTAGTAGTGCATTGAAAGTGACGTGACTGAAACCGTGCAGATGTCTTGAATCAATCATATCGGAACGAAGTAATCGAAGTAAATGAGAAAAAACGTGCAAACACATCAACTACCGGACTTAATTTGGCCCTACGGGGAAATTTCGAAAACATACCAAAATTTGGTAGCTCAAAAAATAGGCGATAACTTACTTTATCTGGGCGCTTCTTCACCTGTTGGCCCGTGGTAAGGGTCACTCCAAACCTCAAACTGCGATCTGACAACTGGGGCTGACTGTCCACAGAAGAATTTACAGCTTTGCGGATTTTGTGGACGGTTGATGAAGAGGATTTTAAACCTTCAAAACGATCTGTCGAACGAGTCGACGTACTAAGAGGCCTTTGAAGAAAGACTGATAAGGGTGGAATGTAATTTGAACCAAGGCGTTGTCGCACGCAGGCTGCCCATCGCGGCAGGTAACGAAACGTCTGCTGGAATGAAACCGAAGCAAAAAGGTATACTAAAAAGTGAACACAAAACCTTTTCAAAATTGGCCAAATGCTCAATAAAAACTGGAGGTGATTTTCATCATTCCCATACTTTTTGAGGTAAAATCAGCCGAAATTAAAGTGTCGGAACTGGTATCCGTGAGGTCACCTGGAACTATCAGAAGACTAGCGACAATCAGGATAATTAGCTTAAAAACTGACTATTGAAAGACTCTTAACTCTGAACCGAAACCAAACAAGCAAGACTACATCAAACGAGCTGACAACGTGCTGATGACAACTCATGCATTGCTCAGGGCCAGTACCCGGATTCAACGCCTACTTTGACAGGCTTGAGGTCCATCGCCGAGAGCTTACTGGTGTTGCAAGTATCCCTCCCAGCAGGTTAGGATGGGCATTCATAGAGTTGTCCCAGTGTAGCGGAAATCTAGTTACCTTCATACAGTAGGCGACAATAATAATAATAATAATAATAATAATAATAATAAT